AAGAGTAAATCTCTTGAGAAAAACAAATGAAGTAACAACAGTAAAGAAAAGGAGAAAAGAAAAAAAGAAAGAAGAAAAGAAAACAAGAAACAAGCGAAAAAGAAACAACAAAGAAGCGAAAAAAAGAGAATTCCAGAAGTAGGGCTCGAACTCAGAACTTTCACTTCAGCATAAGATGTACCCCCCCTGAATACATAAGAAATAATGAAAATAAAAAAACTAAAAAGATGGGACGATTCCCCCGAGACATTCTATGAAGCTGAGGCGTCGAATCGGCTTACGTTACGGTTAGAGATTTCGGCTCTTCCACGCTATCCCGAGTGAACATAAAACTTAGTCTTAACCAAAAGGCCAGGGAGTGAGGGGGTAGCCGCCKACTAGAGCATACCTTTAGCTACCCTCTTAGACCATCGTACTATGAAGACACTTAGATATCTAACATCTAATTGGGGTAGTCTATTCGGTGAAGTTCTATGCTAATATATGACGTCACCAAAATCCTTAGGGAGCAGCGAGCCAATCAGAGCTKAGCTCGGGAATTAGCAAACGATACAGGCTTTGTATAATCATTCTTCAGTAGATTTATTATTTGATGGGGGTGGGGATGGGTGCTGAGTGTTGATTTGCYGCCGAATACCGATGTTCGATGGAATATGACGGCTTTCACCGCTGTTCAATTGTCGTTATTGTTTTCCAAATTATCACAGGAAAATTAAGTGTACAGTTCTTATATCAGACAGACATTATTAGTATTCGGATATAGCATGGCACAAATCTCTTTGAAATTCTTAACGTAAGTGGTTTACAAACCAGGCAGATATTTGCTGGAACTCAACGGAACACAATTAAAGACCTCTAGAACGTTTCACATTTTCGTTATTGATGATATAAAAGTTTACACATTATTGAATATAAGATATAGTCAATATTAACAATTGAAGAGAATGAATGATAATCCGTATAAAATTGATAAATAAATCAAGGAAAGCTTAGCAAGATTTCGCTTTTATTGCAAAACTATAAACAGGCGAATAATAGAAATTTTATAATGTAAAAAAAACAGTTTAGATAACGTTCGAGAATTAATCATGAGTTTATAAGGCAACAGATACAGAAAGATGTCTTTGATTATAGCTAAATTAAAGCTCTGAGGACCGCTCCACGTTGTGGATAAAGTTCCCTTTCCGAATCTTTCAGACGGATATGTTTATTAGGCAATAAGGAAACGGGGCGCCCCGCGTCAGGCCCCACGGGAGGAATGATCAACCATCACAATAGGTCCCTTGGCCCCTGGGAATCGCCGTCTGTTGTGTATCCATAGGCAACGTAATGGTTGATCGCCACATGATGCTTCCAGTTCCTTGCAACGTATACAGGTGATTCAGAAAATGTTGAATACTGAAGATAGTGTATTCAAAGTTTACTAATAGATCTCTTAATGGCCTGAGTCACGTGCAGTCCTCTACTGCCTATTTTTACTCTTCTCAGTCTCCTGTGCATGCAGTCTGGTTACAGGGCACAGGAAGCCCAAGCACGCAGGAGACTACTAGCTTCCTGATGCTTTTGCACCAAATTAAGCTCAATAAACTGGGAAGTATAGCCTTAATCATTACATTTGATGATCAAACGACTATGCAGTCGAGTGTAGGTTCGGGATCGCGRTTCTCATGTTGTTTGCTTATTTTTCAGTATCTTGAGCAGAGATTTTCGGTGGGTGTTCGGATGGTAGGATGTGTCTTTTTTATTTTAGAATATGTAAGTATTGGGATACCTGTGCTTTTTACTGTATTATAATAATGCTCAAATTGTGATTGATTGATTGATTGATATATCGATTGATGGAATGACTGAATTATTAAGTGGCCTTGTTTGATTGACTGACTGACATCCAAGTGATTGATTGATTGAATGTTTGACTGACTGATTGATTGATTGATCGCTTGATTGATTGATCGTTGGATTGATTGATTGACTGGTTGTTTGATGAATGACATTTCTTTCCCTAGACTCTGTATCTCTTCGTCGTCCTCTACGCACCATCCCTCGCCCTGGAGGCAGGTCAGTACTATGATTTTTTTTTTCGGTCCGGTATCCTAGTTATTCGCGCGCTCTGATTGGCTAGCGCGGTCCGGTTTTTCGCGATCTGCCCAGTCCGACGGTATCCTGCATCTAGCCTGCGAGCAAAGTTGCATAAAATACAAATATAAAAAATAGAAATGTTATTTACCGGCTATAGGTCGGTCTGTATAGAAAGACACTGCCCTTGGTCTTTTATGAACGGACCTCGCTGCGCTCGTTCCGTACTGTCAAGACCTCGGGCAGTGTTTTACTATACGGACCTCCCAGACGGTAAATAACATATATATTCTCAGTTGTAGAATCGAATGAATAAATCCTGCTTAGCTTTGCTTTTCTTTCAGTTGCTGGTGTTCCTCTTCCAGTCTCTATTCTCACAACGGGAATCGTCTGCACTTTTTATACCAGCTTGGTAAGTTATAATAATTTCTTTTCTCTTGMATTCAAAAGTCAACACATCAAGGGGTTGAGATATCTCAATCATTCAGAAGGTTAAAACTAGTATTTTGATTTCCATCTCTTTCATCTCATTTRCCATTCATTTCCCATTAGGGTGGTCTTAAGGCAGTAATCTGGACCGATGTGTTCCAATCAATGGTCATGGTTGGTGGTTTAATAGCAGTTGTGATCGTCGGCAGCATTGAGGTCGGTGGAATTGACGAAGTCTGGCGTATCAACGAACYATTCGATCGTATGACGTTCTTCGAGTAAGTAGCATGACTGCAATATAATTACTAGTACCCAACATCATATAAAATAAAGTTTGCCGGTCTGACTGAGTTTTCTAGACATTAACAGATCGTTTATTGGAGGGTGGACACTAAATAGAAGGTCGACGTTTTACAGAGGCAAAACTATATACTGTCAACTCTCGCTATTACGAACACCCTCGGTACCGTAATTTAGTGTCCGCAGTAGCGAGAGTCCTTACTAACTTGAGTTACTTCCAGTCATTTCTTTGTATTTTTTTGTCCGTAATATCGAGGTGTCCGAAATAGCGGGGTGTCCGTGTAAGGCGAGAGTTGACTGTAATATAACATGGCGTAATTTTCTAGTTTCAACCCAGACCCCAAGGTTCGTAACACGTTCTGGACTTTGACCCTTGGTGGAGCGTTTACCGCAATGCCTGTATGGACGGTGAGTCAGACCGCTGTACAGAGATTCTTGTCAGTCCCTACAACTAAAGCTGCTAAAAGGTAAACAGCGGTAATGCTCTTTCGCGTCATGCGCATAACCACGATTTAAATGGTTTTGTATTTTCCAGGGTGGTTTGGTTGAACGTTCCTGGACTTATCATCATAGTCACACTTTGCTGTTTGGACGGGCTTGTCATCTTCGCTGTGTACTCGGGATGTGATCTTAGTATGGATAAACAAATCACAAGTAACGACCAGGTAGTGACGTCACAGAACATATGTATGACGTCATAGAAATGTTAATTATATACATAAATAATGTAAAATTATTTAGATGTATTAAATGTTACGATGCTAATTAAAAAAACGTTTTGAATGTTAAGGTCCTCCCCTACTTCGTCATCAACAAACTTGGACACTTGAAAGGCCTGCCGGGAATGTTRACTGCTTGCTTGTACGCAGGCGCACTAAGGTTTGTATAATAAAAGTCATGATTGGCTGATAGGTTGGATGATTGGCTGATAATATAAATTGATTGAATTATTGATTGACAGATAGAGTGGCCGATATTTGACACCTTTTCAGACACGCCCAGTCATATATTGAACTCCTATTAGTTTGCTTATAATAGTGAATAGCCAGCGATATCTTTGGTCTGCGGTCTCGTGGGATTAACTCAGAGTAAATAAATGAATAAACCTTTTTTTAACAGCACGGCGTCGTCAGCTTTAAACGCCATGGCTCTCGTCATCCTTGAGGACATTATCAAGAAGAGAATGAGAGATGTGTCTGATGCTGACCAAGCWAAAATGTGCAAGTTCATCGGTAAAGACTTCGTTCTCTTGAAATTCTAATCAATCAGTTGATGATTAATTAATAARTAATRTATTGTTTTATAGCTCTTGGTTTTGGTGTWATTGTTATTGGTGGCGCGTTTGTTGTWCAGTTTGTTGGRACTATGGTGCTGCAGGTAGTTATTCTTTCATTCATTCATCCATCCAGTCATCAATTCTATTTTTTAGATTTTTAGTCATTTTCCGACCATTTGTGTTATMATTTATTGAATCAGCTAGCCTATAGTATCTTTGGTATCATTGGTGGTCCACTTCTTGGTATTTTRCTYCTTGGAATGTTCGTAAGACGAGCAAACTATAAGGTAATGGGATACCTTTGTACACAGGAAGCCCAGTATATATGTTCCATATACCTATCGCGAAATGTAGCTGTCAAATATATAGAAGTTATCACACATAACTCTATTGTTTATATTTACCATCAATAAATCATTTCTTTTAGGGTGCCTATGCAGGWGTGTTTATCGCGGCATTTTTTACTGGTTGGGTGTTCATTGGTGCTCAATTCTATCCTCCAAATAAGTACCCAGGAAAAAGGTCCATTAGAGAATGTTCCTGGTTCAACGCTACAGCTAGGATAAATGAAACAGGAATCATTGAAAATACTTGGAAACCACACAGGTAGACAAATTCCTCTTCCCCTCCCCCTGTCAGTCGATATGAATCTACTTTTRTTCTTCKCAGTGATGGTATAGCTGACTTCTACAGTATCTCGTACCTTTGGTTCAGCGGTCTCTCTGTTTTTGTTGCGTTTATGGTTGGACTGATTGTCAGTTTTGTCACAGGTAGGTTTTCATGGCAATATGCACCAATGTAAGCAACCTTCATATGTTTATATTGACCTTTTCTCGTCAAGAAACTAAAGCTGACCGAGCTGCAGCTGAGGAACTGGACCCTAGACTGCTTTTCCCTACCAAAGAATGGCTGATGGGATTTTTACCAGGACATCACTTTGAATGGGACATTGAAGAGGAAGACCCTAAAGACATCACCCCTGCACCATCGGTAGGTACATCCCTAATATATCACCCCTGTACCATCGGTAGGTACACCCCTAATATATCACCCCTGTACCATCGGTAGGTAC